GAGATTCTCTAGAACCCTTTGAAATGCTGAAGGGTTTCTGAAGATTTTACGAAATCTCTTGCCATTAAAAAAAATATTATGGAATCTTTGAAATCCGGCGAACAAGTTTTTTCGAAGTTTAGTTTTTTACCCCCTCGATCACTACCAAAAGAGTTAACGAGTGAGATAGTTTTTATTTCATCTCGTTAATGCAATTTTTTTTTTGATACCTCAGGTGAATGTGAAGGAGCAGGGTCGACTTCTGCGCCAAAACGAGTTCCTGGTATGGCAGGGGAAAGGTAAAAAATGCCTGAGGCAAGTGTTCCTCTTTGAGGATTTGATACTATTCAGCAAGGCGCGACGATTTCCCGATAGGAAGGTGAGTTTTATCAACTTTTCTAATCAGTTTTCCCTTTCTAATATATTCTCTCACCCTTTTTAGAATCTTGATATTTACATCTACAAGCATAGCATCAAGACCACTGACATAGGTTTGACAGCTGTTATGGCGGATTCACCCACAAAATTCGAAATCTGGTTCAGAAAACGAAAACCCGGGGATACGTACACACTTCAGTGTGCTAGTGAGGATATTAAGAAGGCATGGACCGAAGAATTGAGCAATTTGCTGTGGAAGCAGGCGCTTCGTAACAGAGGTAAAAACTAATCGAATTTGTAATTCTTCCTTTTTATCGCTAATTGGTGTTTTCATTTGTAGAAGTGCGCCTTGCGGAGATGTCGAGCATGGGAATTGGGAATAAACCGTGTCTGGATATTAGACCCAGCGCTGACCAAATCAATGACCGATCCATTAGTGTTGCGCAACTATCAAAAAGTAATGATCAAGTGTTGTCATTCCAATTCAGTAGCGAAGTGTTGTATAACGAGATGAGTCATGAGGATTTTTTTAAATGTGTCCTATATCCCTTCTCTTTCGAAACTAATTGCTTCCCCCGCCCCCCTCAGAGGATGTTCCATCTACGCCTGGGATATTTCATCCACTAACAAATTATTTAGTTTTATAAAAAGTTCTATGGATTGCACAAGGACGAATGATTTTGCTCGGATTTTTCTTTAGAAACTTTAGAAGAAACATGTAAAAAAATGATAGCACAATGTCTATAAAGTGATCGAAAACCAAAATTGACTCTTCTCATTCTGCAACTTTGATAGACAATATTAGATTTTCTACTGAGAAAATACTCATTCAATAACATTTTTTCTCATTTTTTGCTTCTAAAGCTCCGAGATTTAGAAACTCAATAGCAGTGTCGATATCAGACGACTCTAGCCGCTGTAGTAGACGTCCTCATAGTGTAATATCAGTGAGCTCTTCGTCGAGTAGTGGAGGAAGCAGTGCTGGGCCTCCGACAGCTTTGCATCTAGGCTTGGATGCTAGTCCAAGGCTTCATCACCGCAGTACCACCTTGAATAGCCAGTGTAGTGTGGGTGAGTAATAATTAATCTGCATTAAAATTCTGACATGCCCAAATATGAAGCCCTAAACGACTAATTTCTCGTATTTTTAATACAGAAAGTGGAATCATCGCTGACATTTCAATAACTTCGGACGACGGGGTGGACAGTGGTGACAGAAACCACTGGAAATCAACACTGGAAAGCCCAACATCCTCCAATCCACCCACCACCTCAACACCACTTGAATCACCAACGAGTTCTCATGCACCTGTTGTTCCATCCACCTCTTCATCTTCCACAGACGTTAATCTAACTCCTTACGATCAAGAAATGTCCATAAATTTGTAAACTCTAATCTAATCAACAAAAAATCAACGGAAAAAAAAATCGAAAATATTTCTGTAAAAGTTGTAGGAAAACTTATTAAGTAGTTCTGACACTGGCCTGTAAGCGCAAAAGCCAAATACTTCTATTATCCGTTTTATTTTTTATTCGAAGTTTATATGATTTAATTGTTTTTCTTGTAATTTAGGCACTCGTGTAAATGTTTTGGAATGGCTTGACATTTTTTATTGAATTAAAATGATGTACTATCATTAAGCCAATCTCAAGACTAAAACACGTAATGACTTACTTGAGTTGTTTTAATTGGATAAAATACTTATGTTATAAAAATTGTCCAAGTAAGTCAGGCAGAATTGTGGCCTTCAATTGTCACGGCCATCTGCCAGGGTATTGCCAGTGATACCTCATGGACAGTGGCCTGGAGATTTCATTACTTTTCTTGTACATTTTCGTTTTTTTTCTCTCGTTCATTGCGAAAAATGCTTCTGGCACTTGTGTTAGATGATTCTAATCGAGCACAAAGGAAAATCATTTGGTACAATCGGCCGTTCTCCCTCATCCTAAAGCTACTCATGTTTCGGATATAAATAATTATTCTCCTTTGAATAACACTTTCGTTGAGTCAACTTTCGGTTCTCAAGATGATTTATAGGAGCTGGGGATTTCTGCCATAACAATTGTACCTTCCTTTTTTTACATATTTGTAACCACTCAAGTCATACCCCTTCCCCCCATTTCCCTCAATCTTCAGATATTTATTAATATATATTTTTTTGTAAGAACTTCGTTATCATTATATCAAGAAACGTACGATTGGAAATAGAAGGTAATGAGTGCTGGGTGAAGTCGGTCAATTTGTTATCAGCACTTGTGGCCTTTTATTCTTCAATCAAGAAAAAATTGAAAAACAATGGTACTTAACATTTTAATAACAATCAATTAAAACTGTATATATATTATAATTAAAATGACGATTTATTTCAGTATTGTACTTGCATCTAACACCGATGTATTTTATTATATCAAATATACTGTATTGGGTGCCTTTTTGTAGCGAAAAAAACTGCAGATTTTTTATTTCGATCGCAAACAAGATTCTCAAATTCAATAATTTTGATGAGTGACATTGCCGACTGCTACAAAGTCTAGTCTACTCCAAATCTACGTCTTCACCATCAGCTGGGCCCGCAGGAAGAGCACTCTCTTCCACAAATCCGGGGAGTTTTGAATGAAACAGTGGAATAAGGAAATTGATTTTTTGGGATTTCCAGCATTTTGATTGCTAGCAAATTTTCATTGGAATTCTACCAGCACTCTTTTGGAATTTCCTTGAAGTTCTAGACAATAAAATTGTAAGAATAAATCAATCCAGGCGTAATTCACCCTCTCTAAATATGTCAATCTTATTCGTATTTGACGAGCACCTGTACAACTGCACAATGCTTTCCAGGACCCTGGGAATGCCAGAAGTTCATTCGAAGTTTTTCGCATTTTGCTTGACTTCTATTGCCTGTAGAGCTAAAGGGGGACTTAATTCGTGATCACTTCGTTGCTGAGGATTTCTCTGAAACTAAAGGACCGAGCGGTTTTAATCCAATTGCATTGAATTTTTAAGGAAATTCACGATTTTTCTATATCTTTAGAAATCCCTAAAAGTCTTCCGAAATTTTTCTTGTTTTTGGGCTTCTATTGTCTGTAGAGCAAAAGGGGGACTTTAGGGGAGACCGCGGTGAAATTTGAAAATCTTCGGGTATTGTACCGACGATCGTGAATGTTTATAGTATGAGTTGTAGGTCAAAAAAAGTGGGAAAAAACCAAACTCCAAGATTTTTGGATGGTTGCAAAACGTTAAAACGGGCTAAAACGGGTCTAATCTACAAAAACGTCCAGGTACCGCAATTTTTAACCAATTGAGCTGAAATTTGGGTGACACATAGTTGAACTATATACAAAAACAGTGGATATTTTTTTCTATTTTTAAAATTCATTTTCCATGTGTATTTATATTTTTTTTACTCAGTAATATGTCCATGCTGTGGTTAAGACATACCACTGAGCAGAAAAAAATATCAATACACAAGAAGAATGAATATTAGAAAAAAAAATATCTACTGTTTTTTTATATATTTCAACTATGTGTCACCCAAATTTTAGCGCAATTGGTTGAAAATTGCGGTACCTGGACTTTTTTGCAGATTAGACCCGTTTTAGCCCGTTTTGACCCTTTGCAACCATCCAAAAATCTCGGAGTTCGATTTTTTCCCACTTTTTTTTACCTACAACTCATAATACAAACATTTACGATCGTCGCTACAATACTCGAAGACTTTCAAATGTCACCGCGGTCTCCCCTTAATCCATGATCACTTTGTTTTTGAGGATTTCTCAGAAACTAGAAGAGCTAGCGTTTTTAATCCAATTGCATTGAATTTCTGAGGAATTTCACGATCTTTCGAGACCCTTAAGAATTCCCAGGAATCTATTCTGACTTGAAAGGAAATTTAAACAAGTTGCTATATCTCAGAAACTACTGAATCGATCGGGCTGAAAGAGCGTGCCAAAGTTGAGCTAAATAATAGCTAGAATAAGCCAAAATTTCAGATTTTTATCTACAAATTTCACCGTATTTATGTTGATTTTTCTAAAAATTAATCAGGAAAGACCCAAGTTTTCGAATACATACAAACAGACATGACCCTAAAAACATCTTTTCTTCACGTTTCAGAGAGTTTCCAGAAAATTCGAGGGAATGCAAGGAGTTTCGAGGAAATTCCAGAAAGAAGGGAAGAGCATGGACGTATCCACGAAATTTAACGTGAAGAAATGAAGCTTTTATTGGCGCGATTTTTTTTCAAATTATCTGGGTGTGTTTCTTCGAAACGAATTTTCTTGTTTGGGATTTTGATGTGTTTCTTGGGGACTGAAATAACCTCCAACCCCTCACCCCCTCTTGACTGATAGGGTTCAATTTTTTTATTGAAATCTCAATTCCCAGAAACTCGTCGAAATTGAAAACGAAAAAATGAGTTTGAAAAAAACACATCCGGATAAGTTAGAAAAAAACATGTCAAGAAAAGCGTTATTGAAAAATCGAAAAATCGGTCAAAAAAAGGCCTCCTATCGAAATAGACATGTGATATTGAATTTGAATCTTGGCGGCATAAACCTAGTGGAAAAATGTCGGTGATGATAGGGACCCTACGTCGTTCTAGTAACCTTCACGCACGCACCTTTTTAGCATTGTGACAACTGTGCGCTATCTCCCACCCTCGATGGCATAACCATTATAATTAGCCGCCTACGAATATTACGGGGGCTCCAGCTTCACCGCAGTGTCACCAAATCTGCCTCGAATGATCAGATTATTTCACAATAAAAATCGTTACAAGTGGCACAACGGGAGAGTGCCTTTCAGGCAGTAATTGGTGAAGTTTTTTCGAGAATAACAAGTGTCGTGACAGTTTGATACCGAGAGTTTGAGGAATATGGTTATATTTAGTGCATGACGTCTAGTCTTCCTGAGACGTTACGGGTCCACCCCCTCTGCCGCAGTAATAATCTCTATTTGAAGCAGTTAATTGTTTAAAAAACAAGTTGAAGTTTTTAAGGAGAAAAAATGGAGGATATATTCCAGTGGTGTCGTGAAGGAAACGCTATGCAGGTTCGGGTTTGGCTCGATGATACTGAACATGACATGAATCAAGGGTATGGGAATTTACCTTATTTGGATGAGTGTTGCGGTTCCATCGCCTTCTCCTTCTCTTTTGATGACTTATATTCACTTCAATGTTATTTGTTACATCTCATGAGTAGGATTATTGCTCAACTGCTTTGTTATTTACTACACAACCTAACAGTAAAGTAAAAAAACGGAACAAGTTTGTTCGCCTGAGAGTAGGGGAGAGTAGGGTAAAATGGACACTTTAGACTTTTTTCAAAATAATAACTCAAAAACAAATGTAATAATAGAGCTCAGTTTAGGTTCATCACAAAGGGGAAGAATTGTTCTTTGTATTGAACAAAAAATTATTAAATTTTATCAATACTTCAACCCCTCATTAACACTTTAAAAAAAGTCAAAAGTGTCCGTTTTACCCCAACCTCCCCTAGATGAGTTTTTTAGAAACATTTTAAATCTAAGGGCAATGGACGTAGTTTTATAGAGATTTGTATTTGTAAAGCTACGGAAAAGGGTTGCATCAAAGTATTTCAATGTCCTCTGGATTTAGGAATAGGGGAGGGTAGGGTAAAATGGACACTTTTGACTTTTTTAAAAATATTCATAACTCAGAAACAGATTTATCAATTGAGCTCAAGCTCATCACAAAGAGGAATCATTGTTTTTCAATTGGAAAATAAAATTATTCCATTTCATGAACAATTCAACACGTCATGAATATTTCAAAAAAGCAAAAGTGTCCGTTTTACCCTACCCTCCCCTATGTTGGAAGGCTTTATTTTTAAATGAAATGGTCATATTCTGTTTTCTTCCTGCAGCACTAATTATGGTGATTCTCATTCATTTAATCAATGTAAATTAATCGGCTTTTATTCCATCACGTTACTATTATTACCAATTTAGTGAAATGGTAACCCCATTATTTACTAAGAGTGAGAAGAAGGCGGTGAAATGGATACTTCTACCTTTTTTACTTCCGAATGGAGGCCTCCTTTTTGACCGATTTTTGGATTTTCTAATTCCGGTAGTAAATAGCGTAGAATGTTAGGAAACGTGAAGAAATAATGTTTTTAGGGTCATGTCTGTATGTTTGTATCCGACAACTTGGGTTTTTGGTGATTATTTTTCTCACTCGGATTTCAGCCAATCAGAGCGCATTATGCAGTATTTGAGGCTGTCAAACAGTTTTATTTTGGAAATGTCTAAAAAATTTCCGACAGAAATTCACTGGTAGCTTTTCAAATGTTTCTCATCTTTCACCAAAATTCACGTTTAATATTCTGTGTGACAGATAAACAAAAAAGTGGGTTGTCAATGTATCCGGATGCTTTTCACAGCACTCTGCTTGGTCGAAATCCGGGTGGAAAAATAATCCGTCAAATACTACTCGGAAAACGAGTGTGTCGAATTTTGCAGAAAAATTTTAAAATTTTAAACCTGCAAAATTAAACACAATCGTTTCTAGGCAACGAAGCTATCGGAAAATATCCGATAATTTTGAAGCACTATTGGTATTACTACTGATTAATTTTGAGAAAATTCAGCATAAATATGGTGAAATTTGTAGATATAATCTGAAATTTTGGCTCATTGTAGCTATTTTTGAGCTCAACTTTAACGCGCTGTTTCAGTTCGATCGGTTCAGTAGTTCCTCAGATATAACACGTTATTTAAATTTCGTTTTTACTCAATATATCAAAAACTACTGCCGGTTTCAGTTTTTTTTTCAAAATACTCATCTCGATGGTCTCTATGTAAGTCAATCAGAATATATAGACTCTTTAATACAGTTTGGACATATTGCTGTTTTTCCGTTTTTTATGAAAAATCTTGTATGCCCGATAACTTGAGAAAAAGAGTGATTAAAGTTTTTTGTTTTCCAAAAATTAACGTCTACCGACACAAGGACGATTCTAACATTCACCGCATGCAAGGGGTATCGTTACCGCTTAATTGCAGGAAAAAATAGTCCTCATAGCAATATCGTTGTCTCTAGATTTCGAAATAGTCTGTGAAAACTGATTTTGAAATTGAAATTACTAATTTTGTTTTGCAATTATAGTCCTCAATAGTTCTCTCCGTTCTTTCCCATCAGTCAATTGATCTTTCAAGTTATTGGCATCCATTCCCCCAACTGACTTCAATTAATATTCAATTACTTCGATGATTCTCAACATTTCAAAAAATTTCATAAGTATCCATTTTGTCCCGCTCTCCTCTTTACAATAGTCTAGTAATAGACAACAGCAATAGTCGAGAAAAACGAACACTATAAATCGATGCGATTTTCTTTAACATCTCCGAATGGAACGGAAATGGATATATTTCGTAGATTTTTCTGTAGAGACCAACGTTCACATAAACATCTTCCACTCTTCGTCCCTTCGCTTTGGGATATTAAAAAAAAATTATCTTGGAGAGTGATAATCTTATTCTATTTTATCCCTGAAGCAATCTTGAATTCCTGTAATTCTCATTTATTTAATGAATTTTTCAGTTCAGCGCCATCCATTCTATCAAATTGACTATAATGGGTATTGCATTACCTCATTATTTACCATGCAATTTCGTAATGAAGTAGCAAAAGCTGGTAATTTAACTTAAGAACTAACGTACCCTTGCATGTATTGAATTTTAGAATCGTCCTAGAGTCCATATTTATTACTTTTTGGAAATCAAAAAATTTCAGACACTGCACAATATAGTGATGGAGTGATTGAAGTTTTTTGGTTTCCAAAAATAAATAACTATGGGCGCGAGGACTATTCTGAAAGTTAATCCATGCAAGGCGTTACCGCTTAATTAAAGGAAACGTGAGTTTTGAATAAATCAAATTTTTCGCAATCGAAGGAAACAATAATCCTCATAGCAATTTTGCTGTCTCTAGATTGTGAAATATTCTGTATAAACTGATATTGAAATAATTAATTTTGTTTTCCAATTGTAATCCTGAATAGTTATTTCCCCTTTGTTAATTGACTTTTCAAACTATTGGCATTCGTTCCCCCCGAATAACTTCAATCAATCTTCAATTACCTGATTATGCACTACAATAATCTACATTTACTTGTGGAAACAAAAAATATTATTAGTCAAACTAATGTGAGTCTAAATACGGTTTCGGTCAAGATGTTTGGCACTACAAGAGTTGGACACATTTTCATAAAGCGGTTTCGTAGAATAAAAGGAGAACTATAACAATTATTTTCGTATAAATCTATCTACGTCCTCCAGATCTAACTATAATGTCGGAGTATTGCTCTCGGAGCGAAGGGGATGGATTCTAAAATTACTACTTCGTTAGATACTTCATTATTCACTGTTTATTACACAATTTACTCGCAAAATAGAACCAGAGATAATGTAATTGAAGTTCACAGCGGACGAATTTCCAGAAATATCTTCGAGTGAAAAGGACATGTATTTTCGTAGAGACCTCATTGGCAGAGCAGAATGAGAACTACAGTAATTGTTCTAGCTGCAAACCCAATTGGTTTTGTTCTTAATAAAACCAAATTAACAATTAATAATAATGAAAAGAGCTGTTATGAAAATTTGTATCTCTTGTGTCGTTTTGACATATTTTCGATCAGCTGATTGCGAAATGAAATTGACTTATTCCGGCTCGCACACTGAGGAAAAAAATATATTTTTGCAAAATATCTATTTATTTGAGAGAAATATGCATTTTTTCAATACCGTATTTCTCCAGTCGAAGCATTCCCAGCCAATTCTCATTAGGTTTTAATTATGACAATTATATTGCTCTAGAAGATGATCATGTTAGTTATGACATTGAGTGTACTCCTTCAATAATTCAGTAGCGAAGTGGTAAAAGGAGATAAGTCAATTTTGACTATTGACCAGTTTTCAATCATTATTTCGGAATCTAAGGGAGATGGCAACATTTTTGTTATAACCTTTTTTGTGGAGCCGATTGAGTGCTACAATAAATGTAATTACGAAAATTTCGCTATCTCCCGTAAATTTGGAAACATTCCTCAAAAATTCAACTGGGAGATAAGTCGACTTATCTCTGTTTACCACTTCACTACTGATTTGTTGTAGCTCTCAATCGGCTCTACAAAAAAGGTTATAATAATAATTTTGTTATCTCCCTTAGATTCCGAGATATTCATTGAAAACTGGTCAATAGTCGAAATTGACTTGTACCGTTCTACCACTTCGCAACTGAATTGCAAACATTAAAAAATCAATCGAAATTCTTCCCTCTAGAAAATACGAAATTTAGGGAAACTGAATAATCATTGGAGGAGTTCATCCAAGGTCATGTGCAACATAGTCATCCTTTAGAGCAATATGATTGTCACAATTGAAACTTAATCAGGCTTGCCTGAGAATGACTCAATTGAAGAAATATGTTTTTGACAAAATAAATACTTTTCTCAAGTAAATGAATATTATCAAAAATATTTTTTTTCGCAATGCAACTTCATTACTTCATTATTTAATTCCAATCACTTTTTCGCACATCGTGATGAAAAATTTTTGAAACAATTTTAAACTGACTCGATCAAAGAGATGCAATTTTGACCAAATAAATGCTTCTCTCAATTAAGGCCCGGGGGGTGGATTATCTTTGGTGATGATTGGTAATGATTACGTTACCTTGGTTGTTTTTTGTTATTTTGATAATCTGAAATGATCTCCAATTGCTATTCAGTTTTACATAGCCCTGGAGTCTCCAAAAATTATGATTGTACAATCAGAAAAACGTTGAAATAAAACTGAACATTTTCAAAGAGCGTTTTTGAATAATATTGGAAAATAAATCCAATAGGGAGGAAATTGCAAATTAATAATTTGACGTATCTAATGGCTGTTAGGTCATCATTTGTGACAGTAGTCAACGGCTGTCAGATCGTTAGTTACCATGATAAATTATCCATTCACTATTTCCTCTCTATCGGACTTATTTCTTAATCTTTATTAAAAATGCTCTTTGAAAATGTCCAGTTTTTTAAATATTTCTTTTTGATTGTACCATCATAACTTTTAGGGGCTCCTGCGTGATGTAAAATCCAATGGAAATTGTGATATATTTTACATTATGAAGATGGATAAACAATCAAGATAACGTTCGAAAGATAATACACCCGGGCCTTAAGGGTGCCAAGTGAATTTGAAAAAAGATTCAAAAAAAATTTTTTCTTTCCCTCCATCATTGGAGAAATATGTATTCATCCATCCGACGAAATTTCAAACCCGCAACCGGAACTAGACATCGAGAAAATAAATGCGGAAAATCCTCTATTTCGCGTGACGAACCTCGAGAAAGCATGGGATCAAATGGGTACGGCGGATTGAAATATCTCTCTTATTCATCCCGGTACCCCATTGTTTTTTGTCGCCATCACATTGAACACATCATTCCCCATATCTTCAAATTTTTTCAAATTTTCCTTGAGTTCCTAGGGGGTTGAAACGTTCAATTTAATCAAAACTCCATAAGAGGCCGTGTATAAGACTGATTTTGTTTATTTAATTTCTCGATATCCATAAGTTCTAAAATTATAAAATTGTCACTGATGTTCACCATCTGTCTAATACTATTAATTAAAAAAATTATCATCGCCAAATTCACTTGACACCCTTAAATGAATATGTAGTAAAAAAAATATTGTTTTTTCTCAGTACAATTTCATGACTACATTGTTTTAATTTCAATCCGTTGAATCAATTTGTCTATCCAGGGATGATCATGGATTTAGTCCGCTTCATTGGTGCGCCAAAGAGGGCCACTCAAAACTGGCGGAGTTGCTGGTGAGCAGAGGTGCGAGGATAAATGCAACAAACCGAGGTGATGACACTCCTCTTCATCTAGCCGCTGCCCACGGCAACCGGGAAATAGTGCAATTGGTGAGTTAATCGCTCAGTTTCTGCCTTTAGTGTCACCACTTCTTTCTAATGATCTTTTTCGGCTCAGCTTCTGCGCAACAGAGCGGACGTCAATGTTACGAATGAACACGGTAACACAGCTCTGCACTATGCTTGCTTCTGGGGGGACCAAGCAGTCGCGGAGGACCTGGTTGCAGCCGGTGCACTTGTTTCAATTGCCAATAAAGACGGGGACACCCCCTTGGACAAAGCCAGAGGGCCCCTAGCCAAACGTCTTCATGGTAATCACAAAAGAAAGCAAACCAGAAATTTGATAAATCCATCAGTAAAGTGGTAAAAAGAGTTGAGTCGTTTTTCGCGCACAATCGAAATTGACGATTCAAGGATTCGAGTATTTTGCTCATTCTATTTTCGTTAAAATGCTTTTATGAACAGTTGTAGTTCAACATCGAAGGTTCCGGTTGAATCCCAGTTAACCCTAGGTCACTGAACATTCTGCAATGATTTTATCATTCAATCATAGAACTTAAATTTAGTGCTCCATTTCAAACCGTTAGGAAACATTTGAATGAAAAAATGTTTCTTTTTCATTATAATTTTTGTCTACTTTCTTCAGTTGAAAAATCCGAAGGCAAATTAAAACGTTTACTTTTTTGGTAGGTTTATAAAATAATCACCAAATTGTTTTTAAATATTATGAACTTTTTTCATAAATTATTTATAAACAATCAGTTTTCTACCCTAAAAATCATTTTTAAAATGTAATTTCTTTTTTTTTTTTTTAAAGTCATTTGAATTAGGCAAATTATCCATGAATTTTATCCCATACAATTCATTTAAGGATGTTTATCCAAAATCGCAAATACTTAAAAAAAAATGATTTTTTTCAACTGAGAGATAAAGATATTCACTTTGATAAAAATTTCAATCCACCAACCCATATTTATTATTTAGAAATGAAATAGATGAAATGCATCAAATACATGCGCTAACATACGCTTATATGTGATAGAATTATTCAAATATTTCCTCTTTTTGCCCGGGTGCCCTAGATTTTTATCTGGCCACTGGATTCAATATGATTTTACACATTACCTTCTATTTTTATTTCTATTTTTAGAGTTTTCTAGTACGTGAATTATCAATTTGAACATAAATTTCATTGGATCCCGTGTATCAGGAAAAATTGATTTATTCATTTCTGCCAAGACTATTGCGATTAATTTTTTTTAACGATAAAAAAGTTAGTTTCATATCGTCGCATTAAAATCAAAGGGGCGTAAGTGCCAAAAAACCCATTTTAAAAGTGAAAGGGGCGTATGTTCCGAATTCCTGTTTTTTCGGTTTTTCATGGAATTTCTGACCAAAAATCGGAAGAAAAAAAAATCTAGGAAAAAGGCGTAATTGCTATATTTCAACGGGAAAGGGGCGTATCTCCACACTTACGCCTGTTTCATTTCATTCAAAAAATGACACTTACCCCCTTTTTACATTATGTGTTGTGCACTTCGGATGACACATTTCATGTTGAAATAAAACGAAAAGGGCGTAAGTCCCACATACGCCTCTCTCTCATTATATCTTAGGTCTACTCGCGATAATGAGTTTTATATTGTTATATCAACATAAAACGCTTTAACTATTTTCTTCTTCCTTTATGGTCTCATTTTCTTCCGAAGTGTTCAAAGCAGTCACGACTCGAAATTTCATACAGATAATTTCCTGAAATTCGCAGTCATAATTTAAAAAAATGAAATAAATTAATGAATGAAATCGAATAAATTTAGAAGAAAATTTTAGAAAATTTTAGTTTAGTTACTGATATTTCTCATGAAATTGTTTCATTCAAGCAAAAAATCAAAGGGAAATAATTTGAACATTCATGATGAGAGGGAGGGAGGGGAGGTTAATGTAGAATCAAATATTATTTATTATTAGGGCTGTAGTGCATGTGATTCCGTTTATACTTGATGAATCAATAGGAACGAACAGTAACAAATGAAGGGACATATATATTGGAGTTACGCCCCTCTGTGATTATTGCTTCAAAAACAAAGGGACGTATGTGCCTGAGTTACGCCCCTTTGGAATTATTCATTCTCAATATGAGCTAGAAAAGAAACAAAAAGTATAAAAAGAAAGAGGCGTATGTGCTGGAGATACGCCCCTTCAGTACTTGCTAGTCGGACTTACGTCCATTTGCCACTTCAGAAATTTGTCCACAAAAAACCTTTCATAAGTTGAGAAAACTCCATTTCGAAGGAAAAAAAAACACGCCCCTTTGGTATTAAGAGAAAAAAAATCTCAGAGAAATGGCACTTACGCCCCTTTGATTTTAATGCGACGATATGTTCTGCTGTCAGCCGAAAAAAATACAGCATTTTCCTTGACCATGAAAACAGATTTATCGACAATTTACCGACACTGGCTAAACATCCTTAACATATTGTATGCTCGAAAATTCCCAAATCTCTAGGGTGGTCCATTCTGAAACAGCTAAAAATAGAAGAAATCGATTTTCTCCATAGAGAGTTTTGTTTAGAGACGATCTTTGGAGAAATTCCCCTACCCCTTCAGATTAGGAAATACAGGGGATGGCAAAAGTTTCGAATCTGCCGATTTTGAAAAGAGCCAAATTTTACTCATTAGCTTCTATTCAATTTATCAATTGAATTTTGATATAATTCAATTTCCGTAGAATTTTGGCACTCTCACAAGAAAAATTCACAGAGAATAAATTTGCTAAGTTGATTCAAGGATGAGCGATGGAGTACTCTTGCCTCCCCTCACATTTACAAAAAAAAATCTTCAAGTTGAAGTAACTTATCTCATTTCACCACCTCGCTGCTGGATGAACTTCAACAGAAGTTCAGCAAGAAATTCTCAACGATAAAAACTGATGACTTACAGATTTGGCGGTGGAGTTCGGCCAAGATCTGAAGAAGATTCAATTCAAAGATCAAAGTTGGCTGGGATTAAAGACCAGAAGTCGTGAGTTGGCAAGCCAAATGCGTGATAAAAAAACTACCCCCAACTGCGTGCCTCTCCTCCTTACAGATTATTTCTTTTCACAGGTGATGCAACTCTATCCAGACACAAGGGGATAAATATGGCTGAACTATCACTACACACACACTTGGCAAGCACCCCAAGCGGCGAGACTTGGCGTGGACGCTGGCAAAACAACGACATTGTCGCTAAAATTCTCAATCTGAGAGAGTGCACAGCTCGCATATCGCGTGATTTCAATGAAGAATTTCCAAAGCTGAGAATCTTTTCCCACCCCAATGTTCTTCCTGTCCTGGGCTGCGTTAATCAGCCACCGCAGCTGGTCACAGTGTCTCAGTACATGGCAAGGGGCAGCCTGCATCGTCTCCTGCACGGTGGTACCGGTGTTGTTGTTGATACAGCACGTGCGCTACGACTAGCACTCGATGTTGCCCGAGCCATGGCTTTCCTGCACGGTCTCGAGAGGCAGAACAGATGTAGATTCCACTTAAACAGCAAACACGTTATGGTGAGTGCCGCCTTCTCTAATTAAAATTTCCACTTCTGGGATTATTTGCTCCGTAGTCCTATTTTCCTCCATTTTTTTTTAGTTCCTCAGAGAACTTTAATGAAAGCGGTTTTTTTATTTAACTACATCCTTCCATTATTTTCCAACTCTATTTACGTTGCCATTCACAAAGACATTTTAATTGAGATTCCTTCTTCCGTTTGTTTTTTCTCATTAAGGCCCAGGTGTACTATCTTTCGAACGTTATTTCGATGTTTTTCTTCATCTCTCGTCATCTGAAATTGTCAATTAAGTCCTGCATCTTGCAGAAGTTTTGAAAAATTATGAATGAATAATAAAAAAAAAGTAGAAAAAATTCTTAATTTTTTCAAAGAGTATTTTTAATTTATATTCAGAATAAGTTGAATAACAAGATATTGAAAAATGTATCTGATTTACGGTGACAAATGGCGGCCTGTCACCCAATATCATGCAGGGGGATCACTGATTTCGTAAATCTTTTCCCACACTGCTCAGAGACATTTATTACAGAAAAGGCTCTTTGAAAAAAGTTGTAATATTTTGGAGAATTTTTTAATCACACTTTTACCACATAGAAATGGCAGATGACTACATATCACTGTTTTGAAAATTGAGATACCTAGCTGTCACTGCCCATGAGGAGTTAGTGTTTTGTTATCCACCAGGGCAAATGACAGCTAATAGATAATTTGCCACAGCGAATTATATATTTGTAGTTTCCACTTTTTTCAACTCATTCTGAATCTGAAGTAAAAACGCTCTTTGAAAAAGTTCAGAATTTTTTCTACTTTTTTTTTATCATTCTATCATAATTTTTGGGAATTTCTACATGATGTACCACTCAATTGACAATTTTGGATTACGAAAGATAAAAAAAATCCAGATAACATTCGAAAGATAGTACACCCGGGCCTTAATTGAAATTACATGTGCTTATGCATTCTCCCTCTTCAGATCGACGAGGACCTCACAGCTCGTGTCAACATGGCAGATTCAAAATTTTCATTCCAAGAAGTTGGGCGAATTTATGAACCAGCATGGATGTCACCGGAGGCACTCAGTAAACGATCCTCTGACATAAATTTGGAGGCAAGCGACATGTGGAGCTTTGCCGTTCTATTGTGGGAACTGGCAACTCGCGAGGTACCATTCGCCGATCTCTCGCCTATGGAGTGTGGGATGAAGGTACATTAATTATTCCTCATAATTACTCCTCTTTCATGACATTCCTCATTAACTCTATTGATGTTGGCTCGTATAATTTAAGATTGCTCTGGAGGATCTACGAGTGGAAATACCTCGTGGAATTTCACCTCACCTCGCTAAACTCATTCGCATTTGCATGAATGAGGATCCAGGTAAACGTCCCTCTTTCGACATGGTCGTACCAATTTTGGATAAAATGAAGCGTTAATTATGATCAATTGTATTGATTTAAAAACGCACAACTTCAATGGTGTTCAATAAATCTAACTCTCGAACTAATATAGATTAAGAATGTATGGAGGAAGTTGTAGAATAACATAGGACTGATTTTTACGATTCCCGAAAATCACTGGTGCTCTCCCCATTCTTTTTTATCACTATTTCAAATGAAGAAATAATTCATGTTATATTTTTTATACAATATTCTCTCTCGAAACTGACCAGAACAGAAAAAAGTCCAGCAATGATTGTGCCTTAATATAATCCAATTGATCATAACCAGATCAATGAAACAAAGTAATTAAATGATAACCAATTGTTGGTAATTGATAAATATATTTATACCAAAAATTTGGTCTTTCTGAAAACAAGATAATTAGAGACATATACACGTTTAATTAATTAACGAAAATATTTTTTAATACATCATGATGGTGTTTCATGACAATGACTGACAAATCACTGTCATTTTTATACATGTTATATGTTGGAGGTCGTCTAAAAATAAATCCTCAAATGTGTCTAAATTTTCTTCTTTCATATTTCACGTGGAAAGTTCCTTTTCCCCGGTTTGATTAAACAAAATCATCGATCGATAACCAATTATTCGTACTTGAGGAATATTTTTATATAAAAAATGTGGCATTTCTGAAAAGAAGATGTTTAGAATCATAGATACTTTTATTTATTTAAAGAGAATAGTTTTGATGACGGTAGATAATGTTATTGTGACAATGACTGGCAATCACTGTCAATTTTATACATGTTATATGGAAAATCATCTGGAAATAAATCCTCAAATATGTCTATGTTCTCGTCTTTCATATTTAATGAAAGAACTTCTTCCTCTCCTGTTTTCCGTTCAGAACGTTCGACAATGATGTCTTGATACCAAACAATTCCGTAGTAATGTGGTAAACGGAGATAAGTCGACTGATCTCCCACTTGAGTTTTAAAGGAATGTTTCCAAATCTAAGGGATATAGCGAAATTTTCGTAATTACATTTGTTGCAGCACTCAATCGGCTCCCCAAAACAGCTTATAACAAAAATTTAGTTATCTCACTTAGATTCCGAGATATTGATTGAAAACTGGTCAGTGGTCAAAATTGACTCATCTCCTTTTACCACTTCTACTGAATTGATCGCAACCAGATCAATAAAACAACATCATCGATGTGTAACCAATCGTTAGTATCTAAGAAATATACTCATGCCAAAAATTTAATCGCTCTAAAAACGAAATGTTTAAAAACATATCGTTCTTTCCTTTTATTAATATAATTCTTCAAGTTTTTACGGATACTTCCTTCCTATTTTACTTTCCGTAGCATTTTTCATTCCCAATGCTATTTCTGGGTGGCCACCATCGTTCGTTCCGAGGCGTTACCTCGTGACCTCCCTGGGCGCTGCGCAGCTTTCCAAAGCTACACTTTTAGAAAAATTATAGAGTTCTCAAACATGTCTTACTTGTGCGTTTTTTTCTAGTTATCAAAATCGTTTTTTTTTTAATTATCAAAAATGCAATTTGTTCACTGCATTTTGGTTCATCCCAATTAAGTGAAAAAATCTCGAAAAAGTCAAAATTTTGAGATTTTTGTTGTAAAATGATATGGCCGGAAGCTGGTTGTGCACACCTTGCTGCATGCCAATCTCAAATCTGTCTACACACGTGTGTTGACCTTGTGCGATAATCTCTCTATTTTTCGACTTTATTTCAGCAACTAAACCTCTCCACAGTTGAGGGTGATTTCTCATATGAACAATTAACCGGTTACCTTCCAGGAAAGGCATCTTCAAACTTCATGTTAAGTCATGTGAAGGTTAACACGTGCGTAGATAGATTTGAAATTGGGGTGCAACCATCTTCCGCTGATTTGATTTTACAAGGAAAATCGTGAAGTTGGAACTTTTTCCGGATTTTTTTCACTCGCTTTGACTCAACTAATTGCGATGAAATCGAATCCACTAAACAAATCGCATTTTCATTAATTCATATTTTGTCTGGGAAAAACTGCGTTCAAATTATTTTTCTTTTTAAATTTTTCAAATTGTTAATTTTAGCCGTTTTCCAAAATTTAAACATTTTTTTTTGTCAACAACTGGACGTGCTGGAATGATTTCTCAAAATAATTTAAAATTAGCATCAAAATATCGATAAGATGGGGTCGATTTGGTTTTCGAGGTCGAATACGTCCGAATTTTGTCGAACCGTGTAATCACAGGCAAGAAATGAATCATAATAGCGTTTTTCTTGCATCATTTACTGAGTCAGTAAGTTCGCCGCGTTCCTCAGCAACCAAAAAAATTTTTTTTTCAACTTTTTGAAACTGTCCTATATGAGATATTTTCAGCCTGAAAAGGCACCGCCTCGTGTGAATCATCCGCCTCCTGAGTGGAATATTTTTGGTGTTTGAAAGCAGTGGAATTAGTCGCGTTTAAGACTTCCAAATTCAAATCAAACAATTTCTTGTTTGATAATTTTCAACTGGCGATTTTGTCAGCCCTATCAAGACTTGGTTGAGAACTTTTCTGTTTCTCTCAGTATGAGCCTACCCACCCACACCGTGCGTTCACCCGTCAGGGCTTACCTAGAATCGTATATACTTGTATGTAATTACCGAGGAGAATTTGCAACGAATAATTATAATGTTATCATTTGGCTCACATGCGAGAGATCACGAGTTCAAACCCCCGGTCGGGAAAAATGATGCGATAATTATTTAAAGTCTGGGTCATCATCGCATTGAACTGGGTCTGAGCGATATAAATAAACATAAAACATTTGTAATGTTATCATGACAGTGATTGACAAATTACTGTAAATTTTATACATGTGAAATCGAAAGTCATCTGGAGATAAATCCTCAAACATGTCTAAATTCTGTTCTTTCATATCATGAAGAAACTTCTTTCTACCCCGTTCTCCGATCAGAACGCGCCCCAAACAATTGAACGATCAAACGAGCCCGCGAAGCGGGCTCGTTTGATCGAAATTATATGAGAAGTCTCGTTCGAAGATGATAGTAAAATGATAATAATATGTAGTCTTGCTTGCCATGCCTACACCACAACGTTTTCAGAGTAAAAAATTCAAATTCCCACTACCCTCTCCTGAGCGTCACCTGATCGACCCCTTCCATACCAACCTCATATTGTTTTGTGTGAAGACTCATTAGTTATCACACAATTTATGAAGATGATAGCGGGTATGATCTCGTGGGTAAATGAAGGGCGGGAGACTATCATCTTCGAACGAGACTTCTCATATAATCTCGATCAAACTTCGCCCGCTTCGCGGGCTCGTTTGATCGTTCAATTATATTCTAAGTCTCGTTCTCGATGATAGTAAAATGATAATAATATGTAGTTCTTTAGAGTTTTTTTTATTTTTTTTTATTGTGTGATAATCTTTGGGTACATATCTGTTTTTGAACACACATATGTACAGAACTAACAATATCTAAATATTATTGGAAAACTGATCGAGCAAATTCGTCATTGGGTGCCTGGATGGGTCTGTTATAAAAATTGAAAAAGGTATTAGACCCTGGAGCCCAACCAGCAGTTCTCCTGATTGTGGTTATGTCCACACCTCTCTTGTGAGCCACAGACACCGCTGCATGCTTAGTGGTGTATGCTGAGAACTGTTTTGTATCAATACCAGCTTTCTTCAAGAAGGATTTCACCCAATGACCTATCGTCTGTGGCGAAGCCCGACCATAAGGTTTAACAGTTGTGATAAAGAAATAATTAGAATCTGCATTTCTTAACTTACTAGTAACCCTCAAGTATTCTAAAACTGATGAGGCAACACATAGTTTTGGCTTATCCTTAAAGTACGGCAATATCAAGTCTGGTTGACAACTCTTTGGACCCGAAGTTTTCGTTGGATCGGTGATTTTAATACTTAAATAATCAGACCGATTTGAAATATTCCTAATGTCAATTAAAGATAACGTCTGCAACCTCTGGGCAGTCGCTAAAGCCATGAGAGTTGCAACTTTCTCTGATAATTCCATCAATTTTAAATTCTCCAGAGGAGGGAGTCGTTCTAAATAGTTCAAGACCGGTGTAATATCCCACGTAGTGGAATATTTAGGCTTGGAAGGTCTTTCTTTAGATACACCTCAGAGAAAACGAGAAACCAACCCATCCTCGTGGATAGCGTGACTGGAAACGAGGGAAATAGCAGAGCGAAAGCTGTTTATAGTACCATGGCCTACTTCTTCCTTCAATTTTATACTCAAAAAGTCTATAATTTCTGATGATCTAGCATTGAACATATCTAATTTTCGTGTGTGGGTATAGTCCCACCACGCCTTCAANTGGGTAAATGAAGGGCGGGAGACTATCATCTTCGAACGAGACTTCTCATATAATCTCGATCAAACTTCGCCCGCTTCGCGGGCTCGTTTGATCGTTCAATTATATTCTAAGTCTCGTTCTCGATGATAGTAAAATGATAATAATATGTAGTTCTTTAGAGTTTTTTTTATTTTTTATTGTGTGATAATCTTTGGGTACATATCTGTTTTTGAACACACATATGTACAGAACTAACAATATCTAAATATTATTGGAAAACTGATCGAGCAAATTCGTCATTGGGTGCCTGGATGGGTCTGTTATAAAAATTGAAAAAGGTATTAGACCCTGGAGCCCAACCAGCAGTTCTCCTGATTGTGGTTATGTCCACACCTCTCTTGTGAGCCACAGACACCGCTGCATGCTTAGTGGTGTATGCTGAGAACTGTTTTGTATCAATACCAGCTTTCTTCAAGAAGGATTTCACCCAATGACCTATCGTCTGTGGCGAAGCCCGACCATAAGGTTTAACAGTTGTGATAAAGAAATAATTAGAATCTGCATTTCTTAACTTACTAGTAACCCTCAAGTATTCTAAAACTGATGAGGCAACACATAGTTTTGGCTTATCCTTAAAGTACGGCAATATCAAGTCTGGTTGACAACTCTTTGGACCCGAAGTTTTCGTTGGATCGGTGATTTTAATACTTAAATAATCAGACCGATTTGAAATATTCCTAATGTCAATTAAAGATAACGTCTGCAACCTCTGGGCAGTCGCTAAAGCCATGAGAGTTGCAACTTTCTCTGATAATTCCATCAATTTTAAATTCTCCAGAGGAGGGAGTCGTTCTAAATAGTTCAAGACCGGTGTAATATCCCACGTAGTGGAATATTTAGGCTTGGAAGGTCTTTCTTTAGATACACCTCTCAGAAAACGAGAAACCAACCCATCCTCGTGGATAGCGTGACTGGAAACGAGGGAAATAGCAGAGCGAAAGCTGTTTATAGTACCATGGCCTACTTCTTCCTTCAATTTTATACTCAAAAAGTCTATAATTTCTGATGATCTAGCATTGAACATATCTAATTTTCGTGTGTGGGTATAGTCCCACCACGCCTTCAACGCACATTCGTATTGTTTGCGGGTTGATGCAGTAATTGAGTTCATCAGAGTCTCCACTGAGTCTTCGCTCACGCCTCTCCTCAAGAAGGCTGAGCGGATAACTTGCCTGCCACCAATGAAAGGTGGGATGACAATGGGTGACTCTGTCTGAAAGGAGAAGTGAGCAGAGACTGATTAGGTTTAAATATGATAGGCGGTTCTCGGAGAAGAGAATTGAAAAGAGGGTACCAAGGCTGTGTAGGCCACAAGGGCACTACCAACACTCCCTCTGCCTTATCATTAAGAATTTTCCTGAGAGCCCTCAAAATCATCGAAAAGGGGGGAAATCCGTAAAATTTTTCGGATCGCCATGACTTTGTGAAAGCATCAATAGCCT